TTATCATCATTATTATTATTATTATTATTATCATTATTATTATTACTATTATTATTACTATTATCTGTTCCTGACGTGGTAGTTAGAGCACTAAAGTACAGTGAGTGAGTCGGTCTTTTTGGTTCTTTTTCCTCACCCGTTATTCAACGTCTTTTGTTGTCCTAACTGCGATAGAAGAATCCTTTGTATAGCCGTCATGTTTCCTCACATTGCTGGCCTTTTATCTACACGAAATGTCTGTTATCCTGTGGACACGGTTCTCTGTACTCAGACCTAGTGAGAAGTAGGTCAGTGGGTCAGTGGGTGTTGGAAGTGTGTGAAGTAGGTCAGTAGGTCAGTGGGTGTTGGAAGTGTGTAAAGTAGGTCAGTGGGTGTTGGAAGTGTGTGAAGTAGGTCAGTGAGTGTTGGAAGTGTGTGAAGTAGGTCAGTGGGTGTTGGAAGTGTGTGAAGTAGGTCAGTGGGTGTTGGAAGTGTGTGAAGTAGGTCAGTGGGTCAGTGGGTGTTGCAAGTGTGTGAAGTAGGTCAGTGGGTCAGTGGGTGTTGGATGTGTGTGAAGTAGGTCAGTAGGTGTTCGACGCGTTGGTTGTAAGCGATTTGCTCAAATCTACAGTTCTTAGAATGTTAAAACTTGTGCAGAGTCATCATCGCTTCTGCGGGGAGTCTTTTAACTAAACAATGGTTTTTTTTCATCCTTTCAGTTCTGCTGCGTGCTGTTCTCCGTCTACGTCTGCATGCACGTCAGTAGGAAGGACATGGTGGTCTAAGTCTGCCGCTGCTCTCTTCCCGGAGAGTCGTGGGGAGACGTGGGGAGTCCCGGGGACCAGCAACCATTCACAGGATGGAGATGAAGTACAGTTGTTGTCTCTGGATATAATATAATATTGTGAGGCAGCGTGGTGAAATCAGGTGCTCGTCAAAATAATGAAATCTGAGAAATCTGCATTTTTCGGCCAGTTTGGACATTTTTTCGAATTTTTGCTGTTTGGCTCAACAGCTTGTATGTCCATTCAAAAACACTTTTATGTGTGGATTTCATGGAAAAACATTGATTAAAGGCACAAAAAAAATGTAAATTTGCAGATTCCAAGAACTCTTAATGCTATAGAAGTCACCAAACTTTGGTGGCCATTTTCTAGCTAATTTTACCTCTAAAACCCGGCGACTCTGACCGCCTTCAATTGTAAATATTTCAACTTCTATTTAAAATAGTTGGATATTTTTTCCACTATGAGGAAGGCAAATGAACAGGCCTTAAGATGATACCGATAACTCCATATGGCCAAAAATTGAAGAGCGCCTGATTCCAGCACGTGGTGACACGTATAGATGTAGACGTACCGGGGCAAGAGCTGGATGGATCAACTGCTGGTCGCGTCGGGACTTCAATGTTGTAGTACAGCAGAGTTTGCTGTTGATGATTGGCTGGGGAGATATAGACAAATACAGCATGTTCACTTTAGGAGTCGTCGTATTGCTTTTATTCGTTGTCTCTCTTCTTTCCCATAATATTGTATGGTCAGGGGTACGGAAAACACATTCTGATACCGGTATCTGAACATTGTTTTGTTTTGATGGACGTTCACTTTCTGGCAAAGTCCAGGGCTGGCTATTTCTTGTTGTTGAAAATGTGAGTTCTCATGTCTATGGGTGGAGGGCGAGTGAGGCTGCTGGCTGCTGGGTGCTGGCTGCTGAGTGCTGGGTGCTGAGTGAGGCTGCTGGGTGCTGAGTGAGGCTGCTGGCTGCTGAGTGCTGGGTGCTGGGTGCTGAGTGAGCTGAGAGCAAAGACTTGTGCCTGTGTTTGTTGATGTAGATTCTGTCGGGAGATACGGTGAACTATTCTATTTTTGGTTCCTTCGTTCCTGATGTTCTTTCGTCTGTCTCTGTCCCTGGCTGCTCGGTTGTTGCTTTTGCTGACTGAGATTCTGATACATGTACAGGCTTGGAAAAATGTGTGTGTCACGACACGGTGGGATCAGATACCGGTTCCTGGTCAGCTGTCTTTGTCACAATGAGCTTATGATACCATAGCACACCAAAAAACATATAGATCTATATATATATATATGTGTCACGACACGGTGGGATCAGGCGCTCGTCAAATTTTTTGGCATGTGGAGTTATTGGTATCATCTGAAAGCTGATTTATTTGCCTTGCTTCTAATGAAGTAAACACCCATTTATCTTGAATAGAACTCAAGATATTTGCAATTGAAGGAGCCGAGGTGGCCATTTTTCATTTAAAACAATTAGCAAGAAAATGGCCGCCAAAGTTTGGTAACTCCAATAGCTAAAAAGTCTTTGAAATCTGAAAAATGACATATTTTGTGCCTTTAATCAATGTCTTTCTGTAAAATTCACTCGCAAATGTGCTTTTATCTGAACTTACAAGAGGTTAAGCCAAAAAATAAAAATTTGATGATAAAAGTGTCCTAACTGACCCCCCAAAAATGCCTGTTTCTCCGATATCATTATTTTAACGAGCGCCTGATTTCACCACGCTATCTCACATCAATATTATATTAGGTCACATGGGGTTGGGGAGGGGGGG